AAAAAATCTGTCTCTCAGTAAGTTTCGGAGCCAATTGCAAGCTCATCTCACGGATAAAACAATAAAGTTCAACAATAGAAGACCACTCAATGACCTCATTTCCAATGCAAAGTTTGTGGGCTTGGAGATTGCAATTGGTTGTTTTGGGAAGGTGCGGAACATCAAAGACAAAGTAAACGTGTTCGTTGTCAACTTCAAAAAACGGCTTATCACACACACCAAGCTTACGTTTGAAGCTTCCTAACCACAGACCACCGCCTTTACTGTGAAGCCAAAAGTCTTAAAGGGGCGATGCACTGATATTTGTATTTTGCTCAAATACCGTTAAGGACGAATCCCTGACGGTAATGATCTGTGAAATAACCGTTCGTTTTCACCACACGCAATCGAAGTCGCCGAAAAAAAAATAAAGAAAAACGAGCAGAGTTCGCCCCCTCAACTCGCAGCCAGAACAAGCGGCCCCGTGATCTGGAGCCGATTATATGCCGCCAATGTTGATCATAGCCATGCGCTGGAGTTGGCATGGCACAGGACACGCGCTGAGTTCCAGACATTGTTATGGTTCGGCTGTTGTCGTCGTTGCAGCGATTGGACACAGGACACTACCCGAATGTTTCTCGAGCTATTGATTATCACGAGCCCAAATCGAGTGTCCACGCCATACTCGGGTCATCAGGTTTTGCGAAGGAGAGATTGAATGAAAACACTCGGTTTCGTCCTCGAAATTGCAGCGCAACAAAGGAGTTTCTTGGTCAGTGGCGTTGCGTGCGAGTATCCTTTTGTCCCATTAGTGCCAGTAAGCTCGTGTAAAGTGAAAAACATTCCAATTGAATATCGTTGCACCGCCCCTTTAAGCTCCCGAATGAGAGAAATGAGGAGACTGCGTTAAACAGAAGACGTTGTTAAAGTGTGCACAACAGTGTATGCAAGGGGCTAAACGCACCTCCTGCAAATTTCAGACAGCATTAACAACCAAGGCTCTATCTGCAATGTTAGAGGTTCGCTCAACACCGTCATCTGTGAACCCGGGGACAATGTCATGTGCAGGGTCGTAAGTTATATTTTTTTTTAAAGCTATCTCATCGAAAATCAAGATGCACACACGTTCAAGTGCAGCCAGACAGCCCGGCAGAAACAACAGCGCGAGAAGCTCGAACCGATCGGCTCCACGAATTCACGCCGAGCATGCGAGCACGCGGGCGGTCATGCGTCACCTTGATTGATGCAAAGTCGACCGAACATGATGCAGCAGAAAGCACAGATGGACGGCACGCACGGCACAGACGAACGACGCAGGGACGAGCAGAGGCGACGGCGTGCAGGCAGGCAGGCCATGGCAGGCGCCATTCATCACGTGGTTTTTGTGACGTATTCAATTTAAACTATTTAGTCATTTTAAATACTTTAAACAATTTTAAAGCATTGCAATTTAAAAAATAAATACTTTTCACAGAAAGAGTTTTAATTAATTTTAACCAAATTGCAGAAAAGCGCCACGTAGCGGAGGGTATGAAATGCACTATCTGGGCCGCGAATCGGCTCCTGTGTCCTCTCTTTACGTTTACTATATTACTCTATGGTCATGCCTCTGATGTAGTGGCTCAACGTTGGCCGCTCCAACTACGTCGCACTGACTGTGCTGACGATTGCGCCTCACGTCGCAAACTTGAGTTGGCAGATTTCGGCGACTTGGCTCATTTGGAAGGTTTGCTGGCCAGTTTATTAAATATATAGACGGAATTAGATCGTAATATTTGACATGGGGTCTTCCTATATGATACTGAAGGGGGCTACATAGTTTTCGTAATATCAAAAATGAAGCGGAGTTGCCTTTTAAGTTACTACGTACGTTCAGTGCACTCAGGTTCGGTGCAAGATAAAAACCAGTAAAAAAGTCCTTGGGGGCCCCTTTAAGGGATAGTTTCCCCAGGATCGTGTCCGCCGGATAAAAAAAATGATGACACCAAACTAGGGAGGCTGTAGTGAGGGTGGGCGCAACTCAAAACCTGGAGAGCGTTTGCAATTTAATGGCGGCGCCTGAGGGAGAGGATGCGAGAAAGGATATGCGCCAGTGTTGCCTGCACGAGAGCAGGCGCCCGCTCTGTTGCAACTCTGTTGCTCCATGCGCCTTTCCTCCTCTCGCCTCCCATTGCAAGCAACGAGCGCCTTGGCGCAGCCTCTCTCGCTTCCTTCTCGCTCCGAGAATTGCAAACGTCGAGCGGAGAAAGCAAAGTTGCCAGACAAGCAGCAACGTCCAAGATGGCGGAATTTACCATTTTTCGCGTTAAAAAAATACTTAACCTATCGCAACAAAACTGGTGGCTATGGAAAAGTAATCATTTATACCTTGTGTAAATTATTCAAGCACCTTAATAGGCTTTTATGACCCGAGTTAGGAAAGAAAACGACCCTTTGCCCCATAGACTCCCAGCAAAATTTAGCAATTAAATGGCGTCCATGTCCCGTCTTCGCCGATCTAGCAGTTGCACCCACCCTCACTTGAGCCTCCCTACACCAAACTCTGGACAGCTACTGCCATCTATGAGCGACTGCAGCAACCAGACAACCGGTTGCCGCCAATGCTCATAGATGGTGGCAACTTTTCTTCGAAGGAAGAGCGGGAGCTGATTGAATGAGCAGCGACTTGCGCAGCAGCGCGAATGGTTCTGTAACCGTCGAGAAGCCGCTATCGCCTAAAGTTCCACTGCGTCGAGCGCTTCAGATTCCCTTGCGAAAGAAGAGCAGATCGCTCGCCTGGAAAGCCACCGCCGAGAAGACAAGCTACAGCCCCGCAGCTCTTCCTTCTTCACCAAACAAAAAAGCTCAAAGTTATTTTTTTATTTTTTTTTTTTTTGGGGGGGGGGGGGGGGGCACCTTGTGCTTATGGATGGATACAGCGATACAGTGGTGTGTAGCGACCGCATAGCCTCCACCATGCATTGGCAGGGGTCGGCGGCATATTTTGAAATCCTACTCCTACCCATTACAGGGGGACGGAGCCAATGCAGAAGGGCGGAGGGAGCCCAATGCAGAAACAAACAAAACAAAAATGCCCGTCGACGCCTATTGGTCCACGTGTCTATGACGTCATTGGCTGTTCCCAATTAGCGGCAGCAACCCCTTTTATTTTTTTGTTTGAATTACAAAATCTGTATAATAGGCACTTGTGCGGGGTGCTATAATGATCAAAATAGTTTGCAATGCTTTTAATTAGGAACAAAAGACGTAGCGCTAACTTTAAATAATGTCCAAAGATGCGAATGCACACCGCTCGGATTACCAAGACTGTGACCCAGACGATGCAGACGTGTTTACGCCGCTGTGCACGCGAGTTTTCGTTTGGATCTCGCACACTTCCATACGTGCACCGAACAGAACGAGATCGCCGAAGCTAACGCAGCGCTGTCGTGAACGCTGGCTTGTGGTTACGTACTTGTGAACCCTGCGACTCCCTTCGCTTTCAAAGCACACACAACGATTACGGATGATACTTTCCGTCTTGCGGTAACATCACGAGGGCACTTCTCCGGTCACGTCTTCGCTACATGTGCTCGCAAACTGCGGAGCTTCTCGTGTGCCGTCAAACCAAAATACCGGCGCCATGTTGAACGTGCGTTGTTGTCAGATTTTCTCCGACCAAACAAAAGCAACAAAAGCTGGCTCTAGCTTTTAGCGTACATCGGCATCACCTTCCCCCCGTTCCTCCAGCGTATCTTTGAAAAGACGCACCGGAAGACGAGACGCTCCAAGTCAATCCAAGAGTGAGGGGCGGAGCGTACTTCTCCTCCACGCTGGTCGAAAGAGCGGAGGTTTCAAATCTGGAGAGGTTCCGACTCCGACTAAATTACGTCCTGTGGCGTAAATATTGCTAAAAAATTTTTTTTTTCGTGGAAGATTTGTTTTGTGACACGCTTGTCCCAATTAGGCTGCTTAAAAAAAAAAAAGCTTTTTTCTCTTTGGAGTTACCCTTTAATGGCTATAATACCCTTTGTAACGGGCGGGTGGTAGCCACTGAGCCCAAGTCTAAAAAGAAAAACCTACGATTCCTCTCACCCTTCCAAGCCGATTTCCTTCCCCTGTCATTAGGATGACTTTTGGGGGATCGAGCAAAAAAACTAAAAAATATCGCTCCCCGCTTCTTCACCACAGCGAGGGAGTCGTCAATTTTCCTCCAGTCAAACCTTGTCGGCATTACCCCAGCACCAGACCCACTGGGGGACAGGGTTGAGACTTTGGGCCAGAGCCACATGGGAGGGTGTACCACCAATTTTCCTGTCCCGCCTCTCCCCAGCTGTGCTAGTTAGTTGTGCATCATTCAATTGCCCCTAGATTATTTCCACCAATCTTCTAATCGCCTCTTTGCGACTGTAATCCTTCTCTTCCATAGTCGCCAGCAAAACCCAGGGCCCGGCCAAATCTGTTACCCCTTCAAGGAGGAGACAGGGCCAAGCCCCGTGCACTTCAAAACCAAGTGCTCTAGCGTCTCGCTCTCATTATGGCAGGCAGCACATAATGTGTCCGTCTTCTGAAATTTAGCCCTATACGTCCTCGTCCTCAAAACTCCCGTTCTCGCCTCGAACAGTAAAGAACTTCCCAGTGAATAGGTGACCGGCGTTTGGCAACTTCCAGTTCCTTAGGAAATTTTGCTTCACTATTGACAAACGATGACAATGAGCTGCAAGCCTGTGCAAGCAGACTCTAGACTGTAGTTTTCAGAACCATGCTTAGACAGGCTTGCAGATCATCGTCGACATTTGTCAACAGCTAACCAAAATTTCCTAAAAAACCGGCAGTTGCCAAACGCCACTCATCTGTTGTCAAACACATTTTCCTTTCTCGTGTCCTGCTTTTGTGTCCTGTACATCGCAAGAGCTGATTTTTCCTGCATTCTTACCTCCCACATTTTTCCTTTTGATTCTGTCACCACCTACAAAATACGCACACACACTAATTCTTGCTATGTCATAAACTCAATCAACACCAAACAAAAACTAGAACAATAAAACGTTCTTAAGCACAATTTTTTTTCTTTTCTAGTTTTGTTTAATTGGAACAGCATTTTTGCACTGGGAAATTGTACATTACATATCGAAGAGATCGCCTAAAAGTCTTTTCCATTAATTTTGGAAGTGGAAGGCTCTGCCTCTTGCTCATATTCAATCTCGACGTGTGGCCGCTTTTTCCTTAAGGATGATCTGGTGGGTCGCTCAGCATCAGCTTCTTTTTCTTCCGACGAATCGCTGTCAGCAATGTCTTCCAGGTCGGACATGTCGCTCTCTTCCATATCCTCAGCAGCAACATACTCCACCGTACCCTGAATGAGGAATGGCGACAAATCAGACCGGTAAGATATATAAACGATGGGAACACACAAGAGATTTCCTTGTGTTCTACCTTTGTTTTAGGTTTTGCATTGTAAGGTTAGACTAAAACGGCTGTGGGTAGACATACTTTGAGTTGTTCCTAGCTTCCAATTCGGCAGCCATGGTATATGTAATGCATATTATCTGATGAAGACATCTCCAACTAAAACACCTGCCCACCGTAATATCCCGAATCCTCGCCCACCCCACAATTTTCAAAATATCGATTTCCAAAACAAAAATTAAAAAAAATAAACCACTGAGTAATTGCCCACCCCCCTACAAATACCCCGCAGACCTCACAATTCGCAAACACGCACCCGCCCCCAATGTCGTGATTGCCGACTGTAATGTTGGAAGACAACCATGACAAAGAAAAAACGAAAGAGGGAAAGTCACTTTACTTTGTCCACACATCTTCCTCGATTTCCGTGACCTCAAGGTCAAAGGGCATTTGTGCAAAAGAAAAACCATGGAGATAACAAAATTTACAATAGAAAGCAGCTTCGTCTACACCCGAAATAAAATCAGCAAAAACCCAGCCATCAGGGGCGATGTTTGGGACAAGGACATGGGTAAGTAAAGACTCGCTTGAATGCCGCACAGAAACACCTGTGAAGCATCCCATTTTGAGCTTCTGCATTATCGTAGTGTTTGCGTTGCTGTCATGCCGTGCACGGGCGCACGTTGGTATGCGCCAAACAAGGAAGTTGCACAACAGTCCGCACCTTGTGATTGAGAAAGCATGCGACGTGATCGCAGGCTTCCACTTTCCCTCTTCTCTGACTTCGCACTTCGTTAACCCGCTCGCTCGCTCGCAGCGCATGATGTATTTTATCCCATTCAATTTTGAGCCTAGAACACGGCAGTTTCGAAATGTGCTTTCATGGAACAAGCACGAAAGATGTGGAGCAGTGCTGTTCACCGCTAGCATGCAAGCAACGAATTTGGCGATAGCAATACATTGGTTCATGAGCTTGTATACACCAACCTAAGTTTACAAACAAACCGGGGACCCCTAGCGGACGCCACCGGCGCCGCGCATGCGCGATGGAGTGTGGGCAAAAAGCTTGCCGACACCTGTAAACAAACCATTGAAATGCGATGTTGTTGGTGTCGGTGTAAGACCCCGGACTGTTTCTCGCGTTAAAATGGTTGATTCTATGTCTTCCAAGCAATTTCTGACTACTGGGGCGGCCTCAGCGAAATAAATGAGGCTCGTTGCACCGCAAAACTTTGAGTGCTGAGATTCTGCTTGCTATTTTCAGTCACGGCGTTGGTCGGGCTGCGAAAGTGTGAACCGTAGCTGAGATGTCGACGTCGATATTGAAAATCGCCAGCAGAATTGGACCAAGCGAATCAGACATAACAAGTCGGTGATGGCCACTGGTAACAATTATCAGCATATGTTTGTATCTACTGCTTACACCGAGCCTATTTATTCCAACCAAGCTTCAAACTTAAAGGTATTTGAATCCTGCACTTCCTTCTTACCGCAATAACTGGACGTTTGGTCTACGGGCCGCTGTCATTTGAACGAGCAGACGACAACAAGCAAAAACGTTTGAGAGCAGATAACAGTTCGAACGATCAGGCAGCCGTTCGAACTGAAGACGCACTGAACATAGTCCGCAGGTGGTCCGTACAACTTTGCGGTTTTCCTGCGTTCATGTTGGAAGAAAACAAATAAACCTGACGACCACAAGCATCCGTGAATTCAACCCAAAGTGCTTCCCGCACAAGCAATCGTGGTCCGACGGCGTCTGGTTTTCCTTTTTTATGGCCCTATCCACATTCTCGGACGAACCGAGCAAGCAAAAAACATATGGAAACTGACCTTCAAACCTTTCCAGCCTCTTTTGGCACAGTCCTAGTCGTGGTGTTTTTATGAGAAGGCAGGTTTTTGTCTGGTTTCTTCAAAAAGAATGCAGGAATGCACGTCTCGCATGGCGACTTCCGCCCACAGCCCCAGACCGGAAGTGTGCCCGACGTGCCACCATCGCATCGTGACGTAACAGAGCTGACTTCGTGTATAAAACAATAAAACTAATCTGAGTTTTGAGATTATTGTACCTTCCATGCAGCCACGCTCACTGAAACTGTGCAGTACAGCCAAAGCTACAGGGGAGAGAGTGCATCCCAACCTGTTCAGAGGAGGGAAAGGAGGAATGGGGAATCCCAGCCCTTCTCTCTCATTCCTCCTCTTGAACAGGTTGGCATATGCTCTCTCTCCCCTGTAGCTTTGGCTGTACTGCACGGTTTTAGTGAGGCGGAGTACAGATGTGTACAGCGAAAGGGGCGTTTGTTTCTCTGTTTTAGCTCACAATGGAGATATGGCCCGGCCAATACCCCCCAGAAGAGAAGGCCTGCGCATGACGTCATCGTCAATGGATCCCCAACCTGCCCTAAGCGGCAGACGCGCCCGTCTTGGCGTCGCCGCATGCTGGCGTTGTGCTTGTCGTGATGCTGTTGGCGATGCTGACGCAGGCTGGGCAGCGCTGCCTGCATCCACTAGTGATGACGTTTGGGGGAGGGTGAAGGCGCCTTGTCTTCTAAGTGGAACAGGCCCTTCCCACACTGTTTTATAAATTTTTAGGCAGCAGCCCGCCCCCCCCCCCCCCCCCCCCCCCTTCTAATGACTCAGAATATTATGCTAAGTCGAGGAACCAAAGCGTGCCTTGTGTGTGTTTGAGTAAAAGGGGTTTTACTATTTATTTATTTTAAGGACAAAAAGTAGGCTCAACAGTAGTGTAAAGAGAAATATAAACACAGATATATACATATATAGACTGCAGCTGTAAAGGCGCAAAGCAAATCCTGCTGCCGTCCACTCACAACATCGTGGTCGTCCTCTACTTCCTCCTCCTCCTCCTCGTCCGTTTCCACCTCGCTCTCGATCTCCTCGCCCTTGAGGGCATTGTCAAAAGCCTTCTGAGGGAAGTTGTAGATGTCCTTGTACTGCGGCGGACGAAAGTGCAACAAAGTATGTCAGCAGGGAAGAGAAAATGCACGAATGAGAATAAACAAACCAAATGCAGTACAGATTGAGAGCAACGTCAAGTTGGGTCAGAATAAGAAATATTATGAAACAACCCTATCCCACAAATACTTGTATGAAAGTAATTTTGAGCGGCAGTTTTTTTCCGACTCTATCCCCGAGGTTAACATTCGGTAAAAGTTACGGGATGATAAATGGGGAGAGAGCACAAAATGCTGCATATAGGCACAAAGGTAGCCCATGCCGTGCCACCACCCACCGTGCCCTGCCGTAGGCGGTCTAGCAACTCCTTTTCGATGGCCGAGTCAAGACGGGCGGCCACAAGTGCCTTCTCCTCTCTCCTGCGCTCTCGTCGTTCTATCTTGCGCTGCATGGGCACCAGTTTCCTCCTGGAGTAAAGTGCAATGGGACCACATTAGGTAAAAGGCACCAACTGAAGGATGCTGCAAACATGAACCACCATAATGTAAATTTTGACAAATCACATTAAAGAAAACAAAAAAACAACAACGTTGAGTTGCAAGGTTAGGCAAATTGGTGCTCAGAGAGTGGAAACAGGGCTGAAATGTTTAGAGTAGTGTCAACTTTTGCAGTGGATGGTGGTGGGGGTTTGCACATCCTAGTGTAACATAAGACCATCAAAGCAACACTAGCTGGGTACAGAACTGCCCCTGCTGAAGAGTACAGTTTCGCCACTGCCGCCACCCAACAGGACACAGTGAATGAAGCAAACCTTGCTTGCAACTTGGTCTGCCATACACCAGTCCCACAAGCAGATGCCCACTAATGACATACTTCTATTATTTAGCTCACTAGCTGCAAGCAGTGCAGTCAAAGCCACGGGTGGGAGGAGGCAGAAAGCCCCTTTTAAGCGAATTTTGAGTGACGGGCTAAATTCCAAATGGGTGAAAATGGACGGGGGGATGCACAAAGAAGAGTCTGGGTAAGAGAAGAGTTCCTCCTTCCCCTCCTTTCAAACTGCTTGTGTTACTCTCACCCCTCTACCTTTGTAGCACTCCGTGCAACTAGTGAGTATAACAGTTAGTTTGCACCGCAAAACCAGTAACTCTATAGGCACTATCGGTGTCATCAGCTAATGCACCGGCAGACTACCGTTTCTGAATCAGACATCAAAACCAAAGACTGTGGGTTCCTAATGAGACGAGAGTCGTTCGGACTTTGGGGACGCTGGCAATCGAAAACAGAATTGCTCACTTACTGGCGAGAAAGTCTAAGCTTGCGCATGCGGATGATGTACTGGGTGATCTTGAGCAGGCGCTGTTTGCATTTCTGGCGCACGAACCGGGGCCAGTAGACCAAGTGCTGGTTGATCTGTTCTAGTGCCTTCTCGAAGTTCTTGGATAGCTTCACCTTCTCCCAAAGCCTGTTAGGAAAGGCGGCTCGCTCGATCGTCTTCATGTAAAGGTAGCAGTTGCCTTCTTCCTCTTTGATGGTGGCGTACACCGAGTTGGCCAGGGGACATGACGATCGGTTGCACAGGCCCGTCAAGTTGAAATCGTTTCGGCAAAACTGCTGGCCCTTCGTGCTGAAAGGACAGGCGGTGTTCAGCGCCTTAGCCCCCCACGAAAAAATCAACGCAGCGTGTGTATCTGATCAAGGTGGGAATACTTACTTGACTTTGAAGGAGCAGAAGCTTCCTTTGATGATGCTCCATATGACCTGTCGGCGAAACGTGTCATCAAACCTAGCATAACTGTTCGACAACATGAATGAATTGGATACATTTTGCGTACGTAATGGGGTAGGCCAAGACGTAACACGTCAGTTTATGTTATGCGTGCGATGGTAAATGTCTATAACAAAAATCGCCGCCCTTAACCACCGATTACAACTTTGGTACGCTAGCTGCGATCAATGCGAGCACGGTAAACAGCGAACCTGAGATTGGCTGCGACCGTGTATCGCTAATGTTTGCATCACAGAGCTCCCGATACTTCAAGAAAGCAACGTTGATAACTTACGTCGTCGTTCTGCATTTTGTCGTTATAAAGTATAAAGCAAATCTGTCATAATTGGACGCAAACCACGCAGCCAACAAACCCTCGTGCTGCGAGCGCCGAGAAACAAGCTGGTAAAAGACTGGCCTCGTAGCCGCATGCCGCATCAAGACCGGTGGCGCAAGTAACGAAACAAGTCATGCTCTCGGATATTATAAATAAACAAAATCAACTAAAAGTATTGAAAAATAATTTAAATATAATAAATTAGTTACATAAATTAAAATAAATTCTTAATACATCTTATTTGAGAAGAAGTTGGTTGCCAGGATGCCCGTTCGCCCGCCGCACTTGACCGAAGAATTTGCATTGAAGTTTGATAACACACACACACTTCCGGTCGACTTCGCCATTTTCAGTTGTTTTAAGTATTGAGTGTGTCCCGAATACCAAATTATAATTGCACTGGTTAGTACTCGTGGTTATGTTTGCACTAAGAGTAAAGCTAGTGAAACGATAGTCGTGTGCACACATTGTCCTGTACATTCCATATCCATATCAAGCGTCCAGCTTTGAACTAATTCCATCGGTAAGCCTACTGAATTGGAAGTTTTGGAACGAGGGTTGGTGGGTCGGGATTTACTGGGCTTCGTGGCTCATTGCAAACCGATCTCCGATTTTTGCGCGAGCTGAACAGAGCCGTCGTTTCGGTACCGTGAGAGTTGGGAAATATCCGTTAAACGTAAAGCGTCCTTTTTTTTTTTTTTTCTCCTTTTCCAAGTCTGGGGACGCCCAGTGGCCCTTTTGTGTGTCGCAAGCTTCGCTGTGCAAAGGGTTGACGGATGCTTGAGTTGAGTTGGCAGAATAACATTTCCTCGGTAGTTTTGGGGGTTCGTATTGCGTTCATTGGAGTTCCGATGCCCAACTGCCGGCAGTATGTGGCGTACGCCTTCTGCGGTGTAATCTCGTTTCGCCATTCGTTCCAGTTTAGAGTTTCCTTTTATTTTGTTAATCTAGGCTTCGACCAGAGATGTTTGGGGGGGTGGGGATGCTTCTATGTGGGCAGATCGATACAAAAGTCTACATGGAACGTATAAATATAGCTATAAAAAAAAAAGTAAACTTTCGGTAGCCATAAAAAAAAAAAAAAAAAAACTTGCCAGTATCAATGTTCCAAGGTAAGGCAAGGATGTTTGCAGGTGCAATATTTATTTCCATTCATTTCCCTTTGGCGTGACGCCAGCGGCCACATTGTCGTGTTTTGAAGTGCACATGGAAAACCATGGAACTGGCCTCAGATGTCTAGATTCTAACTACAAACGTTTTCTAAAGCTAGGCTGAATATTTGATAAGTTGACAAAAAAAAAATATCCACAGAAACTGGCATGTTGAAAAAAAAAAATACCTTGAGAAACTGGCTTGCTTAGAGAAATATGTGGCATTAATTCTGAGCATAAAAGCTGATTGTATATTTGAATGCTGTTGAAATGTACTCTGCTTTGTCTCGCCCTACAATGAAATGGAGCCGAAGCTACGGACCACCATGCTGCGATGTGCACGTTGGAGCAGTATACCACGCGATTTCTAACTGGCTCGTGATTGGTCCCGATGGCCCGCAGGTTTTCCTTCAGTTCATCGTAGGATGCCTTGGCGTTCTGCTTAGGCTGATGCTGTATATACGTTGGCAGCTGAAGAACTACAGGGCATGGCTTATGTTTGCGCCCCTTTGCAATTCGTTCTTCCATGTTCTTGTTGGCTAATGCTGCAATTTCATTGGCTGCAGAGCAATAATGAGATGCTCGAGACTCGCCCTGTCTTTCGAAAGCTGTCGGTGACTGTAGTACCCGATGCTGATGGCACTCACTCACGGGGGAAATTCAAAGAAATGACTAGAAACAAAAGGCTTGGCTGCCACATCTGTTAACACCCCAAGCAAAGCCTCGGCAACATGCTAAAAGTGTGGTAGAAGCTCCGCCTTCAGCATGCACTTGTTGCTTTTCATCAGGTTTTGGCTGCGTGTGTGACCAAGTGCTAACAAACGCTTGCGCTCGAGGCGGAGCATCTACTGCATACTTAACCTGTCACCGATTAGAGTTCATTGTAGGTTGAGATGAGGTGTCCAGAACTTCTCTTGTTACGAAAACAAAATAGAGCAACAATTGCCATATTTTCCAGGCTATAGCCCACAAACTATGTGTGTTTAAAAGTCGAAATTTAAAGTTGTGCAGACTATACAGGAATTTTGTTTTTCAAGATAGTTAGTTCATTATGATGAGATGTGACTGACTTTGTGAATGAAAGAGTATGTTAAGGATGATTTTTGTGTAATATAAGCTTCTTTGTGACCTAAAAAAGCAAACATTCATCAAAGTGCCGTGTATGATAAGATTATTGTGTCGACTGAGCACCAGGTGCGGACTATGCACGGCGTGCAGTCTATGCACTGGGTGCAAACTATTTAAGCAAAACCTTTTTTTTTCGTCTAAATTGGCTTTTGCGGACTATACACCGGGTGCAGAGTATAGCCCGGAAAATATGGTACCTTGTATTACATTTACTTACACTAGTTTCTAAGAATCTGGGGTTCCCTTTACACAACAGCATGCATCAGTAGATACATCCTTAATGGAGCAACTGAAGTGTGTTTGTGATTGTAGTTCGTAGAGCACCGCATATTCTCCATGCATTTGTATTTAACAGATGCATTGCTGCATTGTAATGTTCACCAAATACTACTACATCCCATCTATCCGTTTTGTTTTGCAAACTACCTACCTGACCAAAGGAGAATTATTGGAGTAAGACTGGCTTATAAACAAATGACTTGGAAAGGGGAACGGAAAAATGGAGTAGCCACTATAAAGTCCATGTGTCTTTGGCATTTGGCTACACTGCAGATGTTGAAGAATACAAGCCTTAATGAAGAGATACAGCACACACATCTCAATGTTCACAAACTTGCACCAGCTTGCCTGTGGCCACAACACTTGAAGCCCTTCCTTTGCAAACTAACCATCTACTCAGTCAAGGAGGTTGCATGAAAAACCAGTTGCCTTGAAGTAGGGACAAAAGACACAGGCTTTGCATATATATTCAGAATTGTGGGCCAAGGATAAATGTTGACTGGATCACATGCAGCTCATGAAACAATTCTTTGCTCGGCAGTTGGGACGTCGTACGTCGCTGGAATTTGCTGGATTGACCCGTTCGGTTGGAATAACTCGTACGCACAAAAACAATAATCTGTAATTGTGCTGAAAGTGAGAATCTCGATAGTCCAAATTGATTGAGTAATCAAGTGAATTGCAAGTGATGTATATGGTATGTCTCCATTCAGAAAAATTTAGGCTTGAACTCTTACTGAAGTGATCAGTGCTGCAAGTATAAGGAGTTGTCAAGTTTGAGAGCCTGCAAAGCTTTTTAGACGTTCCGAGACTTCCAGTAAAAACAGCACCGTCTGACCAGTCACAGCTTTATTAGAAATTTAGAGATTGTGGGGCTCAATTTTGTTGTTTTGCTTCCAATGCAAGTAAAATACTTCTTTATTAGAACAGCCCTGGTTGGCAGCCAAGTCGCTTGGGTAAACTGTAGCTGTAACATGTACTGCTGATAAAGAGCGTGCGAGCCTTCGCCAAATTTCCATCCGAATCACCAGGAAATGTGTATCTTGGTATAATGCCCACTTGACTGGTACAGTCAACTTCATAAGCAAAAGCGTATGTGATTGCATCGAGGACACTGAAAGAGCTCCACTACAACCACACACAAAACTACCATACACAGCCAGCTCATGAACTTGCTTGCACACTTGGCCCCCAGGGACGCAAGAGTCTGAAGACTACCATGGAACCACCTCCAGTCGCCCTCAAATGGGACCCAAAGAACCTCGAGATCAAGACACTCTCCGTGGAGAAAACGCTGGAGCCCTTGGTCATTCAGGCAAGGCTAATGGCTATTTTAGAGAGAGGGCTTTTGACAAACCTGTTCCTTGGCGAACTTCAGGTGACCACGCTGGTCAACACCAAGGGGCCCTCCAAGAAGAAGAAGGGGCGGTCCAAGCGTGCCCACGTTTTGGTGGCTGCTGTGGAGAGGGCCACTGAGAACTTCATCAAGAAGGGCGAAGAGATTGCGACAGAAAATCCCGACATCCACCAGGAGATGATGGCTGCCGTGGAGGAAGTCCGCAAGACAGGTGAGTGGGCTCAGTCTGCCGAGGTTGGCAGTGACGTTTTCGGTTGGCCGGTCTTGCAGGAGAGGCCATGAGCAAGGCCTCGCGAGAGTTTGCTGAGGACCCCTGCTCGTCCGTAAAAAGGGGTAATATGGTGCGCTCGGCACGCAACCTCTTGTCCGCGGTCACCCGTCTGCTCATCTTGGCGGATATGGTGGACGTTCATCGACTGCTCAAGTCCCTGCGTGTGGTGAGCTGGCTCGTTGCCCGTTTCTGCGAGACCCGTTGCCAATGGCTCTTCCGTCGTCAGGTGGAAGATGACTTGGACAAGGTGAAGAATGCATCGAGCCAGTCCGAGCTAATGGAGTTCTTCCGGAACTTCGGGGTGAACACTATGGAGCTAATTCAACAGGCTGCCCGCAGACAGGCGGTGAGGACCTCTCTATCCAGCGAGACGAGCCACTCAAGGCCACTTTTTCATTCCCAGGAGCTGAAAGACTCAAGATTACGGGACGACCTTGCTGCTGCTCGAGCAGTGCTCAAAAAGAATAGTATGATGCTGCTCACAGCTTCCAAGGTACTAAGCACAGTGAAGTCGGCCCCTCCACAGAGTCTTAGGATGGCTTCGTTATCTGCAGGTCTATGTTCGTCATCCTGAGCTTTTGGCAGCGAAGGAAAACCGGGATTTCGTTTTCCGACAAGTTTGCGAGGCGGTCAACACAATCGGCGACGTGGCTCAGGGGCGCGCGGGTGCTCTGGTGCCTTCGTATGAAGGCCCTGGCGAGCTAGCCGCCGCGCTGGACGACTTTGACGTAAGGCCTTCCCACTTACACTGACAACAGGCCTAAACGGTTTTTCTCCGCAGGAGCGAGTGGTGCTTGACCCGCTGACGTACAACGAATTGCGTACCCGGCCTGCTTTGGAGGAGCGACTCGAGAGCATCATCAGTGGAGCAGCACTCATGGCAGACTCGTCGTGTACACGTGATGAGCGGCGGGAGCGCATCGTTGCCGAGTGCAATGCGGTGCGGCAGGCCTTGCAGGACCTGCTTGCAGAATACATGGCGAGCGCAGGCCGCAAAGAAGAGTCGCTGGACAAGGCTGTCGAGCAGATGGGGCGCAAGACACGGGATCTGAGGCGTCAGTTGCGAAAGGCAGTCGTAGACCACGTTTCTGACTCTTTTCTCGAGACGCAAGTACCGCTGCTCGTGCTGGTGGAGGCGGCACGGGCTGGGGATGAGCGGCAGGTCGAAGAGTATGCTCGCGTGTTTGCCGAGCATGCGCATAAGCTGGTGGAAGTGGCCAACCTGGCATGCTCTATGTCTAGCCATGAGGACGGTGTCAAGATGGTGCGCTGCGCAGCTGCACACATTGAAGGACTCTGCCCTCAAGTGGTGAACGCAGCTCGGATCCTGGCTGCCCGACCACGCTCCAAGGTAGCACAAGAGAACATGGACGCTTTCCGGGATGCTTGGGAGACGCAGGTGCGTCTGCTCACCGAAGCTGTGGATGACATTACCACCATCGACGACTTCCTTGCAGTTTCAGGTTGGTGCCTTGTTTTTTGGTGCTTGCATGGGTTTTGGTGGATCGGCAGTGAGGTTTGGTTGGCCCTTGCAGAGAACCACATCCTGGAAGATGTAAACAAATGCGTGCTAGCTTTACAAGAAAATGATGCCGACGCACTTGATCGCACGGCTGGTGCTATCAGGGGCCGCTCTGCCCGTGTCTGCAACGTGGTCACCTCGGAGATGGACAACTATGAGCCCGGTATCTACACCGAACGTGTACTCGAGGCAGTGGCGGTGCTAAGAGACCAGGGTGAGTCACTCTGGAAGGGGAGCCTTATTTGTACAGACCGCTGCATTCACTTACACCTGCTTTCCAGTCATGCCCAACTTTGCCCAGAAAGTGGAAATGGCCGTGGAGGCCTTGAGTGCAAGTCCGCACAAAGAAATGGACGAAAACGAGTTTATTGATGCATCCCGGCTTGTCTACGACGGGGTGCGCGAGATCCGCCGTGCCGTACTTATGAACAGGGTAAGCAACGTTGGTCTCTAAAAGGCCCATGTTAAACTTTGCATTTATTTTCTTGATGCCCTTCAGTTTGACGTTGACTCGGAGGACGAGATGGACGGCTCAGATATCTCTGGCAGCTGGCGTTCTGTTGGCTCTCGGAGAAGCAGAGGTTGTGAGAACTGTAGCTCAATCAATGTGTTGTACGGACCAGGGGTGGCTTGGTGTTGCGTTTCTCCTGTGGGCTGCTTTCCCTCTGCTTTTAGCATTGGCTGTCTACTTCATAGCGGCATGCTTGACGCTTGTGTTTTCTAGAGTGCAGAGGAGCTGGACTCTGAAACAGAAATCGAATATGAGGATAACACGTATGAAACACGCAGCAAATGTAAGCTTTGTGTCCTTTGTCTGCATGGGTGTCTCCTTGTGTTATGCGATTAATTTCTGACGAGGCATTTCTCATTCCTGTAGCTAGTGCCCATACGGCGGACTATGACGAATATCCCGACATCAGCGGTATCAACAACACTAGGGTGAGTCTGGAGTATTGTGAAACTGCCCTGGAGTGCCCCACTGGAACGGTCATCTTTCCACAGGATGCATACCGGTTTGTGTCCGAAGAAGAGAAGCAGAAAATCGCTGCCCAGGTGGAGACGTTCCGCACAGAGAAGAACAAGTTTGACCGCGAAGTGGCAAAATGGGATGACACTGGCAACGACATCATTGTGCTGGCCAAGCAGATGTGCATGATCATGATGGAGATGACCGATTTCACCCGGGGCAAAGGGCCCCTCAAGACCACGATGGACGTCATCAACGCAGCCAAGAAGATCTCGGAGTATGGCACCAAGCTGGACAAACTGGCCCGCACCATTGCCGACCAGGTGGGTGTGTGCGGCAACGCTTTGCTGGGCCCAGCCTCATGAGCGTCTCTTTGCAGTGCCCAGAGTCGAGCACCAAGAAGGATCTCATCGCTTACCTGCAGCGCATAGCGCTCTACTGCCACCAGCTGAACATCACCAGTAAAGTGAAGGCCGACGTGCAAAACATCTCCGGGAACCTGATTGTGTCTGGGGTAGGTGCCAACTACTGCGAGCTGGCTCCCACGCCTCTGCTTACATCGCCATTCCTCTGCAGCTTGACAGTGCTACGTCCTTGATCCAAGCAGCCAAGAACCTGATGAATGCGGTCGTCCTGACGGTGAAGGCTTCCTACGTGGCTTCTACCAAGGTACCTCGGTAAAGCATGCCGGAAGACGTTCCCCCTCACTAACCCTCTGCTCCTTTTCCCCCCGCAGTACCCACGGAGCGGCGTCGTGAGTGTAAGTAGGGGCAGGGCCAAGGCGCGCCACTGCCGCAGGGCTCGTGCCAACCCTGACTTTTCCTCTGCAGTCTCCCATCGTCGTGTGGAAGATGAAGGCCCCGGAGAAGAAGCCGCTCGTGCGCAGGGAAAAGCCCGAGGAAGTGCGGGCCAAAGTGCGAAAGGGCTCGCAGAAAAAGAACATCGCACCCATCAAGGCCCTCAGTGAGTTTCAGAGTCTGGCCGAGTCAGTCTGAGCAGCATGCACCGTCCCCCTTTGCACGGCCGAAACCCCCCCTCCATAGCCTGCAAGCGTAGACCCCTCCGGTGCTCTAGTACGCTCCTCTGTACACTACTCAAGAGGTCCCCTTGCCCCCTTCGTCGTACCACTGCCCAACCCCCTCACAACGACTCGTTCCCATCCCTGGATGTTTGTCCCTTGTAGCGAGCTGTGTTGTGCTCTTGTGGACCCTTGAACAAGGGCAGTATTTCTATTTGCAGCATGAGTCACAACTGCTTCTTGCCCGTTCGAGTGGCGGACGGGCCCTACTCTCTCTCTCTCCTAGCACTTCGTTAGTGGTGTAGAAACAGCTTCATCTCTGTGTGGAAAACTGGTGGCTACTACTGCGTCCAAACCTTAGCTCAGATTGCACCATCCCAGTCACCCAAGTGGACTTTCTCTCTCCTCCTACTACTACCGTCACAACCTTGTAATCACTGTAGCATCATTTGGTGGATCTGTCACTTACTGATACTCATGGTGGCATGTCACAAACTTCTATTAACCGAGAATGTGCATCCGATAGGTTTTCTACACTAGCACTCTTTTGGTCTCTGGTGCTTTTCTAACTTCACTAACACCTGCTTGTGCGTGGAACTTCACAGGATAATGGTTGTAATGGCTGCTTAGTCCACTCTGAAATCACGGAAGGCCCTTGTCTGTTTTTTTTTTTGTTTTTTTTATTGTATACAACCTTCGTTTCTGCAAAGATTGTTATATTTATTGCCGATATCTTATATTTGAGGATTTTGAACTGTTCAGTGCACCCTACAACTTGAAAGATTGTATACCATTCAGATGCGGCTATATTGTATGGAAGGATTGCATAGGAGACTAGCCAACATATCTCAGTGTGCATTTGTTTTTTTGGGGGGGGAGGGAGGCATGAAGTTTTGATCCCCTGTGCTCCGTGGCGAGCTGTAACTTGGATGTGGGCGTATGTTCCAGACTGTATAGAAGAGAAATTCTAAATCTTTTCCACAAGTGCTGTCGTATGTGTGTGTGCGTGTCCAAATAAAGACAGATTTGCACTGCTTCTGTGGATGTGTCGATTTATTCATTGACAAGGGTGTGGCATTCCACATACTCCACTGCACGCTGCCGCACTTTTTGGGAAGTTGTATCGTCCCCATGTTGTTTCTCGAAGTCTAGCCATTTCTTGAAGAGAGGCTTCATCTTCTTGGGGTTTAGATTTAAGGACGTGGCACGCTCGAGGGTTTTCCTGCAGTGGAAGAGGTGTGGACACCAGTTAAATTATGTTAATCTAAACCCGGAACAAGAAATCGTCTTGTTCGTTTTTTATTTCTCCTTGTTTCGGGATTTAGGTTATGTTTACTAACCAGCTTGCCTGCATACTTTTGCTCCTGCAGTTAAAATATGTCTTGCACAAGAGTCACTGGCTATTCAAGGGGCATTGAGATACATTAGCAGGGTTTTTGCCAAAATTGCTTCTTTTCAGTTCCATGACTTTTTTAACTAAATTCCAATATCATTACAAAGGTAGAAGCTTGCACTGGATCCGTGATGACTTGAATTAAAGCAGCACTGCTTCAACAGTGACATTGTCACTCGCCTATTTTCACATGATAAATAAACTGCAGCAAACACAGAAACAAGCACACAGTGCACACATGAATGGCCCAGAAGTTTGCAGCCAGTGTAGGTCTGATGAACCAGTATCCTATGGGTGGGTATGCGTGTCACACTTTGATAGAGTTGCGGAGGTTGTTCCTATTGGGAACAAACCTCGAGTAAAACTGTTTTATTGGACCATTGAATAGAATTGTTTTCATCACAGCCCACGCCATGTCTTGGAAAAAAAGGTTGATGCCATAGTGGTCTGCGTCAAAGGGCCCATTAAGGAAAATTGTTAGCTTCCAATATAAGGTAATTATTTTTAGTAATTAAATTGTTAATTATTTATTATAAAGGGATGGTTTCAATTAGAATCTAGATAGGCATCATCGAAAACTACTAAACAGGCTTACACGCCGTTGACACGACCACATCGGTATGGTGGTTGCATAGCAATGGGGCCTTTTAGCAAACCGTTACCGCGTACCGCGCACTACTGGAGCCTTTGAAGCATGCTTTTAAAGCGCGCCCTGCGGTCACGGTATCACTCGGGCGCGCGCTTAAAAGCATGCTTTAAAGGCTCCGGTAGTGCGCAGTACGCGGCAACGGTTTGCTAAAAGTCCCCATTTTTTTTTTTTTTTCAGAATTGCCTAAACAAACACAAGACGGTAAACCGCTGTGGCCAATAAAAAAAAAATATTCCAATAAATATAGCCTAAAAAAAAAAAAACTTGTTTGCCCAGTTTTTGTGCAACGTGCGCTTGGGAGCAGGATGGCGCAACCAAAGTGGAATGGCGCATAATGGCGCAATTGGCGCAGCGCTTCCACCCCTGCAGTAAGGTCAAGGGACGTGGTGTAATGAACCAACTTTGCTCAGTTGAAAATATGGCTGCAAGCCACTAATCGGCCACATCTACTTGGGGACGGACTTAACTTCTCATAGTTGGCAACTCCAATATGCACAGTAGGTCAAGATGACTCACCGAACACCCTCCACATCGGGCAGCTTTGCAAGTAAGTCTACATAGACTAGCCACAGGTCGGTGCGCTTGGGGTAGTTTGCTAGAATGCTGTCAAACATACTCTTTCCTCTCTCGACATCTCCATACTTGAATTCCATCTGCGCAAACTTGGAGATGATGGCAACATCTGCAGGACAAACAACCTGGTTGGGATTTGTTCTCGTTGACTTCAATACCTGGTTACTTACGATCCTGCTTCGGCAAACTCTTTAGTGCTCGCTGGAGTAGGGACCTGCAGGACTCTACGTTGCCAGACTTGATATAGAAGAGACCAAAGCCAAGCCAGACATCGACGTTTTGCTTGAATTTGTTGAGCATCTGCTTGTACAGCTCTTCGGCTAGCTGTGTAAAGGGAGGGAAAAAAAAGCTGAGCTTTCAAGTCTTTGCAGCTTTGAAATGAAACAGCTTTCACCTCATTCTTGTTGGCAGACACATAGATCTGTGCCAAGTGTGTGTACACCTTCAGTGAATCGTTGCACTGGAGTGCCTGTCGGAAAACCTCGTTTAGGGAGTCCTGGGTACCATACAGGTGCTCAAGATTGAGCAATGCAGTCCAGACATTCAGCTTTTCCTGCTCCTCCCTGCAGAAACGATCGGTTGGCAACTTTTCCGGTTACGGCGAGATAAGCAACACCCACCTGAACTGAATGCAGTCGAGCGCTCGCCGAGCCACAGTTCGTGCTTTCTCAATTTCTGCCTGGCGCAAGTGGAAGGCCATGTACCGCAACCAAACTATAGAGCTGTTGGGCGACACCAGTACAAGTCGGTCGAAGTCGTCCACAGTTTCGGGCTCGCGGCTGGGGTCCACCAGCCTGCGCTCCCGCTGCAACGAGAACATCCACAAAGTGTTGTGAGCTATGGCAAATGGAGAGCTGCACACATAGTTCAATGGCAACTTGCCTCGCGCAACTTTGCTTCAGCTTGCTCCCTCTCCTCTTGGATTTCCTTGCGGGTCTTGTGCTTGCTCCCTTGTTCTTCGGCTTCGTCGTCGCTACTCTGGACAGCTGGTGCGTCTTCCAAATGTTTGGCCAAGTTTGGAGTGGCCTCCACGTCCCAGCTGAATCCCTCGCCCAAACTCAGTCGTGGCAGCGGATCTAGCTTGCTTTTCTTCTCTGTGCTGTCGTAGATGGGCTCCGTCTCGGATGTACTAGACAGTCGCCGTTTCCGAGGGGCTGTCGGACTTTGGATTTCAGAGTTGCTCAGCGTCAACAGGAGCTTTTTTTCGGCGGCTTGGATGTGCTTCACGACGACGCTGACTAACGAGCCAATTTTGAGCATCTTCCTGTTCCTCTGAATCGCCCCAGGAAGTTTTGACAAAGGTACTAGTCCATCGATGTTGTAACCGACGTTCACGAAGCAACCAAACTTGTTTACACTTTTTACAAATCCTCTCAGAGAAGTGTCCACGCTTAGGTCGTTGAAGTCGTCTACTTCTACGTCCACGACCGCAGAAGCCCTGGCCATGTTGAGCCTATGTTGGAAACGCATATAATTATACATGTAGAATTATATGCAAAAACATTAGAAAGTAAGCGGAAAATTACCGAGACTCTCGCATGGACACACGGAATTGGCCGGTTTCCTCGTCTTGAGTCAGGATGCGGCAGCGTACATAACGTGCCTGCAGGTGGCTCTCCATCAGTGCCGTGGTTTTCGAGAAGTCGTCGCTGACATCAGTGAGGCCCATAACACCACGATGGCCCAGTGGGAGGCACAGGTAGGCACCCAAAGTTGTCCGTACACTCACCACGCAGGCATTCACTTTGCTACCAGGTTCTAATGTGTCTGTATCTGCACAAATCGAGAAAAATGCAAGTGTCTATACAACTGCATTCCAATACTTTTTCAACGACCCACAAGCTGCTCAATCAGACCTTTTAAGAGCAACACTGCTTTCATTTCTTTTTCATGAGTATTTCATTGTACAATGCTGGCAAAAAGGACCATCCTATTTTCTGGACTATAGTCCGCAGACTAGACAAGCTTAAAATTTGAAGCTTTACATGGTGCAGGCTACCAGTACAAACTATATAAGAATTTGTTTTTTCAGACCGTTTATTATGACAAGACGTGAGGATTAAATCCCGGCCGAGGTGCCCGCAACCTGACGGAAGCTTATTGCAGAGAAGGCGTGCAACTGAGATTTCAGTTGCACGTCAAAAGATCCCCAGGTGGCCGCAATGAATCCTCAGTCCTCTGCTGGGGCGTGCCCGATGCCCTTAGTTGGTTTGGCACATAAAACGTTGTTATGATGTCATGAGGCTCTCTGATCTTAGAAGAAGAGGACATTCAGTGAGTACGCTTGCAGGAGGTGGCACGCGCTGTTGCGTTTAGAACTGATGAGCAATCGCCATAGCTGCTGCTTTGATCCCGTATGTTACTTATTAGACAGTTTGCTTAAATCATCCTCTAGCAACTAGCAACATAACTAGCAACATAACAAACATCAAAATTTGACTGATGACGAGACGTGACGTATTTTATAAATAACCGAGTATGTTAATGATGACTTACATACTACCATAGAACACCACGTATCCGCCCATTCCACACTAAGTGCCCATTTGCAAATTTGTAAGATCTGAGAAAATACGCACAGTACATTGATATGTAAAACTGATGACCGGACAAGCACCCATCCCCCATTTTTTCGCAATTATCTCAAAATTTTGAGTGGGCACTTGCCCGGTACTTTTTGGTATATGTATATGTGTGTTTTCATTTCAATTCAAGCACAGTTTTGGGTTAAATTTAAAATTTTGACCAAGAAAATAGATGTTTTGGGATCATCCTGGAAATGAAAGGGAGAGCAAATGGCAAGCTTGTCAGATATTTTGTTGTCAAGCTAATGGCCTCGAGACCCAGATTGAAATTAGGGGAAGCGTGCTATTGTTAACTCATGGTTCTCTATGAGACACGTGGTGATTCCATCTGTCCACAATGCGGGTGGAGACAAAGCATCCCCACTAACGGCAGAGAGCACGGGCAAAGGTAGAGAGCACGAGCTCTTGGCAGTTGATTCTAGCGCGCGAGCGCTGCATTGGCGCCTTCCACGGCTTCGGCCTCACGTGCGTAGCATGCGTTTCTCTCCAAGTAAGTGTAAAACAAAGCGTAGTTCTGCCTTTCACCACATGAGCCGTGCCGATCGAATCTCGAAGCGAATAGACCATTCAAGTGACTGAGGCAAAAACAGACTCTTCTCCCTCCTGCTGGGTATTGCATGTTTGATAGCTCGTTATTTTCTCACTTCTCAAAATAAAGCACTAGGAGTTTTTTTGTAACTCTGGAAATAGATTTCAATATGCTTAAAAAAACACAAAAATAGAAAAAAACATTTTTTAAAGTTTATTTGGGACACTATTTCATTGTTTCTTTTTCCGCCCATAAAAAATGATATTATTTTGCGCAATTACATTGTCAGACACAATTTAGGTGGAGATAGCCCGCTGTACGCCTCACTCAGAAACGTAGCTAGGTACGCTCCATTTCTCGACTCTCATTGGTTGGAGAGATGATTGACGTGTGGAATGTTTGTTGTAAAATTGTTTCTCCATGCCACCGTAATCTTTTATTCAATTTTTTTTTTTTTTTTATGTATGAGAAACAATTTGTATAAATAGAGTCATTATTGTTTTCAAAAATATCACGAGATCATGTTTTCCACTTTGGTTTTAAACGATAAAAAACGTGGATGCTGGCATTTGCGGCCAGCGGTTTCACATTGAGCTTGCACAAGCTCATTGAGCTTGCTTGTGCGAGCGAGTATGAGTGCGAGTCATTGCTTGCTTGTGCGAGCGAGCATGAGTGCGAGTCATTTCGCATTCAGTGAGGTGATTAGAAGAAGATATTCTCCACCACATAGTTTGCAGCAAACGATTATCACAAATACACACCTTCGGAAGCACTGCGCGGGTGCTTCTTTTAGCAGCGGGGCCAGCGTAAGCCCTGCATCCCACGTCAACTGTTTTGCTTGATTTGTTTGTTTGAGCATTTTAATGCTGAATAAATGAGTCAGTTCCCGTAAAAGTGGCTCCATTATTCTGAGAATTGTGCAAGCGTCGTGATTGTGACCATTCTTCCAGTACTGAGAGTTAACTTGCGTAGGTAAGAAATTGCGAGCCATTTCGTTGCAAGCAATCGGGCATTCACCTCGCATCAGGTTTGTCCAGGCATGTTTCCGTCTTCAAGAGCAGTGCACCTGGCTAGCTAAAGTCAAAAATTTTTAGGTTGCGTTTTAATTGTGCGTCATGACATTCACCCACCTTGAAAACTGAAAAGACCGCATATTTATTCTGTTGATATTTTTTTAGTCCTCTCTGTCACTTTTACCGCACATCAACAGATGCTGACAGACGCTCGTATTAGACCGTGGCTCTTGCACGATGGAATGCCAGAACACCGCTTTCATGATCGCACCTTGCGAGCTTTGCAGACTGTTTTAGATTGGGGCGGAATAGTAGACAGACGGAAGTGATGGCTGATGCGCTGCTTTCATGGCCGCATCTTACATACATTGCAGACAATAATATATGGCTGTAAAATAGTAGACGATGCCGGAGGCTGTTGTGCATCTGCTCATACAACTAGCAGGCGGTGTCAGACGCCAAACTAGACGCACCTGACGTCGCAACAGGAAGACACTAGGCTTGCGAGCATGCTCGGCTGAGCAGCCAAACCAATCTAGCACTAATGGGTGGGGCGACTGATTTGTGGGCTGTGACTTTTACTTAAATTGCGTCTAACGGCGTAAATATTGTGCAAACTTTTTTGTTTTCTTGTAGAAAAACAATATAATTTTTATTTCAGTTTTTTTTTAGGGATTTAAAAGAATTCCTATATTTTGGGATAATTAAAAAAAAAAGGCCATACTGTGTTCTTTTTACAACCTCTTGCAAAGTTTGGCAAGTTTTGCATATGGCAAAGTCTGGCAATTTTCTTATGCTACCAGAAGGCTGAAATTTAGGTCATTTTAATGACCTTAATTCATTATTATATATATATCTAGAATAGAATCTGCTACATACATTTAAATCATCAAATGAAGAAATAAATAGATTTATTTGCTTAGTTTTTAAAATAAAATATACAAAAAAAAGTTCAGCAAATTAAAAAAAAAAAATTGCTTAAATCTTTCTTTTAAATGAACTCTTTTGCGAAGTAACAAAATAGTGAATGATCAAACATGCAATTCCCGACAGGTGGCAGAAAACATCTGTCCCTTTGATGATTTTTGTCGAAGTTTGGCAAGTCTGTGATCTACTTAAAGGGGCCCTGCAAGGACTTTTTTACTGGTTTTTAATTTGCACCGAACCTGAGTGCACTGAACTTCGTAACTTAATGAAACTTTTCTTTTCTCGAATTTCGCTTTATTTTAAAAGTTATAGGCAAATTAAAATTACAAAAACAAGCAAAAAATAACCTCCCTCATGACGTCCTTGGTTGCTTGAGTGGCTGTGAACTAGAGGAGGGGTAGCGAGCTCAGCGAGCACTCACGGCTGCCCTACTCCATGTCGAAGGCACGAGAGGGCGCCACTAAAGCATGTTCTCGATAGGTTGTATATAGCGGGCAGCCAGAGCGGCTCTCAATGCATTTGCTGCGCAGTTAAGCACTAATTCGGCATGGCCACAAACGACAGCAAACACGGGGTAAAGATCAGTTCAGAATGGAAGCCACTTCGCGCTGCCATACCGCGAAACGGCCAAACTGTAAGACAAAGCTGCTCACCGAAGGCATTCGGAACGCTCCAGAGCCGGTCAGATCCTCCAGTCGATACGACTGCAGCGCCGCTGCGTACATCCGGGACCTTTCTGTGTCAGCGCCTGATCCCACTACTCCTTTCAAGTATGTGCCGCCTTTTCCTCCGCTTGGTGGCGGGTATGTCGATAGGTCATTTCTTGTTTCCATACTTTATAAACCGTATTTGTTTCTTTTCTGATCTAAAATACTGAACAAAAACTACTTTTATAAATAATTGAAAGGGTTCGTGCCACTTATATTTTGTATTTCGACTAAAAATAAGCTTTTAGCGGCTCCGACCTGTAGCAAGCACAGGACCTAAGACGTCGCATATAGCGCGCTTTCAACAGCCTGGGTCACCCCCTTCGGTGCAGGAGGTTTCCGCGTCGTCCAGTTAAAATATGACACAGTGATATTTAGTTACTCTCTCCGTGCGCGCTAGCTTGCTCGAACCCCAAGAGACGTGGAAACCACAAAAAAGGTAGACACTTAAATATGATTGCAGGGCCCCTTTAAGGCATTTTCATGACCTTGACATCACCGGAAAGCCCAAACTTAGCTCTTTTTATTGAATACAAATTCAATATGATAAGCCCAAAACAAAATATGTTACATATATTTGAATGACTGAATGCTTCGAAAGTCCACCAAATTCCGGGACCGATTTTCTAAAAAAAAACTATTTTTTTGTGTTTGATTAGTAGCAAGGTATAATTGATTTATCAAAAAATATAAACAGAAAATATAATATTTTGCTTGTATGAACACAATTAAAGCTTGAATCTTGTCAATTGTTCGTCGTGACTGCGTTCTCGCATAGGTGCAATTTAGGCCAACATTGTGACATGGTATAGTTAATAACCTAATATTATTAATGCGAAAGCATTAACTGTCTCATGGAGCGAGCTGACGTTTTGAGCGTTGAAACCATGCAAAATGGCACCTTAATGAAGCCATGCGCAAAGCTAGCCCAACGGCACCTTTTACTCTTCGGTCCCACTGGCTGGCGCACGTCGACGAGGCTCCCATTGGCTGTGCGCGTCAGTTTGTGTGGTGTCATCCTGACTGTGTTATCACACTGTCGTGTTATCACTGATCACCACGTTTGCTGGCCTCTTATCGGTTGTAGGCGCGTGGCAATATATACGGCGCATGGAATAAACCAAGGGGTTCCATCTGCTGAGAACTAGGTTGCTGTCTGCTCCTTCCTCATGCCGCAAGGCACACGGCAGTTTCAATGATCGCTCACCCGATGGTGCTGCGTGTCCGTGAGGCAGCGGCTCCACCGTTCCACGCCCAAAGTCAGCGCGTTGTAGGCCGCAGATTAAAGAAGGGAGCGAAAAGCGGCGTGCGTGCTTTTGCATTCACAACTCATAAGAAGTGCTTATAGGTGTACCTCGAGCCTCTTACTTTACTTAACATGTAAGCTTAAAAATAAAATTGTGCGTAATGCAAAGTAAAAGGTATTTTACTCTGCAAAAAGGCTTGCCATTTAACAACACACATCTGATAAAATTCAAGCTTTAATTGCGGTCATATAAACAAAACACACTATATTATATTTTTTAATAAACCACTATTATACCATGCTACTAATAAAAAAAATGAAGCAAATAAAAAATGGAGCTTTTGAGAAAATCGATTTCAAATTTGCTAGATTTTCAGAACATTCGTTAATTCAAACAAACTTTTTTTTATATTAAAGACAATATTTGAATTTATATTAATTGAAAAGAGCTAAATGTGAGCTTTCTGGTGATGTCAAGGTCATTAAAATATCTTACATAAGCCACACGTAAGAACTCGTCAAATTTTGAAATATATTTAAAAAAAAATGTTGAACTGTTTTTTTTTATATATATATAATTAAAAAAGCACAGTTGGACATCTAAAACAAAATTATTAAAAATATACTTTCAATTCCCTAAGCATAATTAAATGTATTTCGAGAGTGTCACAAAAGAGTCCTAGTGCTTTATTTTGTGCAGTGAGAAAATAGCGAGCAGTCAAACATGCGATACCCGACAGGTGGGAGAAACGTTAGTTTTCGCCTTGGCCACTTCAATAATCAATAACTTGAGAAAAAAAAACAACAACAATCTGTCAAGCTTGCCGTTTCTGTTTTTTCATTTCAGGAATGTTTCCAATACATACATTTTTTGTTCAATATTGAAAATTCAACCCCAAAACAGTGCTTGAGTTGAGATGAAAACACCCATATAGGAGATACCAACTTCTTGGTGAAATATTAAAGCAGGAATTTGTCAAGGTGCGCAGTGTACGAGATTTTTATGTGCAGAGATTTGCCCCTGCGGACTGCACGCCGGGTACGGACTTTAGTCCAGGAATTATGATAGTCTTCCACAGAAAACCTTAGTCTCAAATTATTTGGGAATAACTTTGGGACAAAGAATATTCGTTTGAACTCGTCTGATCGAACATGGACAGCAGGCAAGACTAAGAAGGACAATTTTAATGTGCTCAAGTGAAGCTTTCGAGCTTAAAGTATCATAATTTTGTTCTCCGAAGTATTATTCAACGACTATTTAAAATGGAAATGCTAATAGCCTTGAAAAGGAAAAATTTGTTATTTGAGGATTTTCTGGAATATGAGAATCCCATTGACAAAGTACTTCCCTACATACCAAGCTGCGACAGCTCAACCGTGTTCTTGTCCACCCGGAGCACTTTGGCACGGACAGCCTGTCCTATTTTGTACAGCTTGTGAACGTAGGGCAGATCCTGTGGAGATTAAAAAGGCCAATGTAAAACTTGCTGAAAAAAAAAAAAAAAAAAAAAAGAACCGCGAAACCCAGCAAGAAAATGAATCCAATACCTCCGCCGGTAGGTTCATGTTCAGAATGGGCAGCTTGGCCATCTTGTCTGTGGACAGTACCAGGAAGAGACTGCCCTCGGAGAACTGCAGAGCAAGTACGGCACGAGAAAAGGTTTGATGATTGGTCGTGAGATTGTGTCTTTGGTCTTTAACGCTGAGACCAGGGCAGGCAACTCACGTGCGAGAAGAATCCTGTCACCGTATTACCGGGCCGGACTTCACAGCCACCTCTGTGGGGAAATAGGCTGCACTCAGTCAAATTCTTGCGCCCTGTGATGGCCAACATCCTCTTGTGCTGCACCGCTGTCTTGCCTAGAATATGCAAGCGGAGTTTGTCTCCTTGCTGGAAGCCTTGCATGGGGTTCTCGCCCTGAAAGTCAAAAACAGTTGGTACTCGGTCAACTGAGACGGAAGCTCATGGTGCGGAACCACGTGTGATGTGTCGTCATCGTGGAGGGGAACTAAGTCGTTAATGTCACTGTCACATGACTGTGAATTTCCAGTGATACATCTAGTACTGCACAAGTGACTTCTTGGTTTTGCTGCTTTTCCTTTTGTCCGGTGACACAAGGTCATGTGACTGAAACCAGATTTTACGCACTGTGAGGTTCTTAAATAGATCTGTCAAAAGTCCTGAAATAGATTAACAGCATGGAAGGCAAACTGTTTATCTCCAATGGTATGTGATGGGCTTTGAACACAAATCCATTCCACAATGCTCTATAAGCAACTATTCATTGTATCTAGTGCAGAACCTCACTAATACATTTTCACGGCTATTACACTCACAAACTCCAGTCCCTTTCAATCCTATGGGGATGAGTATGTTCATTTCCCATTTGTTGTGTTAGCCTTCCTGGTTGTTACATCCAAAAACCTGACACAGCCAAAGCTGCACATTGGGCTAACAGAACACAGTATTCCATTTTGTCTGCTCTCCTTCTTTGTCTCTTTGCGTTGCGCGTGCGCAATTGGGTGTAGGCAAGAAGCGCAACATCCCACATCAACAAACCATTCGAGTGTGATGTCAAAATCAGTGTGAGTCCCTGTGCTCTTTTTCGCGTTAGAATTGTTGATTCTACGTCTTCCTAGCAATGTCTTACTACTTTAGTGGCCTGAGTGAAATTAACAAGGCTCGTTGCACCGAAAAAACTTCATGTAAACGTGATGTGCAGCGATTCATTCTGTGTGAACACAGTATAACGGACACTAAAGCCCGATTCATAGGATGAGATTCTGCTCGCTACTTTCAGTCACGACGTCGCTCAGGCTGCAAAAGTGTGGATGGCAGCTGCGATGCTCGATGCTTATACTAAAAATTACAAGCAGAATCAGACCAAATGAATCAGGCATAACAAGTCGGTGATGGTCACTGATAACAAGGATTAACAACTCCTTTTATCTACTGGTTACATTGAGCCTACTTACCCAAACAACCTTCAAAATAAAAGAAGTTTTTTGAGGCCTGCACTTACTTTGTATCGCAATGTTTTGTCTACTGGCCGCTGTCGTTTGAAAGAGCAGACGACAGTGACCAGATGGCTATTTCATTGTGAAGACACACTGAACATGGACCGCGGGTGATCCGAACAACTTGATGGATGCATTCATGTTGGAACAAAAATAAATCTGACGACCTAAAGTATCCATGAATTCAACCCAAAGTGCTTCCCGCACAAGCAATCGTGGTCTGGGGGTGACTAGTTCTCCCTTTTCACGGCACTTATCTATGTTCTTGGGCACACCGACCAGGAAGAAAACACATGAAAACTGATCTTCCCACCTTTCCTGGCTCTTTTGCTACAGCCCCAGCCACGGCGTTTTGGCAAAAAGGCAGGTTTTAGTCTCTTCCAAAACAACACAAGAATGCCTGTCCCGCAAGGCGACTGCCGCCCACACCCTCAGACTGGAAGTGCACCCAAAGCGCCACCATTGCAGCATGACGTAACAGAGTTGAGCTGGTGTATAGGCTCCAAAAAATGTTACCGCGTTTGCACGACTGTAATTCGGACTTTTTTTCCGCCAAAATCGGTGCCCAAAATTACATGCACGTTACAATCGAAACCAAAAACCGAAACACAAAAGAAAAACGCAACAATGACATAAGGAGGGTGACCCCATCGCCATTCTTACCATCTGTTTCCATCTGCCATTTTGGTATCCGTATCATGCGCATTCTCTTGCCTCTATGGACTCGTGTCTGCCGTTTTAAGATTTAATAACAAAAGAAATTCAACTAGGAGGCTTTATTTAAATGAAAGGACATCACACTGGCAAGAAAAGATAACAATGGGTCAGCACTGCTTGACCTTGTAATCCCAGCGATCCGACGAGCTCGCAAAGTTTTGTTTGGGAGACGACCCTCCCAGAGGCAATGGTCTTGCACTTGTACAAGCGCAAGAAGCGCCGCACATAAAACGCTTCAGACGAAAGCAAGGATTACCTCTGTGGACAGCGAAATACCGCCGTCGGGCTCTGACAACGGCGACTAGTGCACGGCATTTATTTTTGGGTTGTCGTGCGATTCATAAAAGCTGTTCTATGAGGTATGTATTCAATTTTCATTATTTTACCTGCGTGGTTGAATCGGCAGCAATTTACTTTTTGAATATCTGGAAACTAAATCTGCCTGCGTGTTAGGAATGGGGGTGCATTATAATCGTGCAATCACAATTATATTAATACTGAAAATGGTCCAGTGCATTGTAGATACCTAAAATTAACTTCCCACTGCCTCTAGCATTAGTCATGACTTGGCCAAGGTAAGAAACCCACCTCTTTGGGCTGCTCTTTGATCATGGTTATATGGACACGACCCCTTGAGCCTCCCTTGAGGCTGACTTTCAGCTGGAACTTCTCCACAGACTCCACACTGCAAGAAACAAGCAGCCAAACACATATTAGTGCAGTGCCAATAGAGCAGCACTAATTTCAGTCAGCTCAATCTTCCTTCAAAACATCTTGGATTAGGAACTGGCTCACTAAATTGAAGAAAGCAGCAATACAATAAATCTGTGACGGTCTAACAGATGAGGTTGGTTTTAGCGGATTGAATGGCTTGCCAAGACTTAAGGGTCAGCTTGTCAAAGAGCCCCACTAGCTCTTGATTAAACCCTATTATAACATTCAATTTTATATCCTAAAACGAGAGTAAAACAGCAAAACACACTTTTTTCTTAGTAGTGTTCCTTTGTGCAGTGATAGATAATAGACCCTTGCTTATAGCATGCTATAATTCTAAAAAAATTTTGGGAGTTTTAAGCAGCGTTGAATTACTGACAGCTTACAGCACAGGTGAATCTCATGATGAAACTTCCATTGACATAAAGACACCAAGGTGTCGAAAGCATCTGGAGCCAACTCACGTAGCTTCGTGTAACTGCCCATTCTTTGGTGTCGCTGGAGTCAAACTCTCCTGTCGAGGTTTTTTTGACCTGTCAGCTCCAGCCTTGCCATTGGTCAGAGATCTGTCAATTTTAGGCTGGAAGATTCAAAGGCCAAGTCATAGATCTTACAGAGAGCTCCACAGGCTTCAGAGAGACTCACCAAGTTGGGTACTTGAACCGTTTCATCTGCTGACATCTCCTCTGTTGTGGACTCCTGGGTCTCTGCCCTTTCCTCCACGTCCTCATCTTCCATTCCGGAATCTTGCTCAGTCTCACTTTCCACCATCTCCACATCCTCTTTGGCAGCTTTCAAACTGTTCTGCTTTTGCACATTGGGGGCTGTCTCGCAGATGTTCTCTGCTGTGTCGCCGTCTAAGTTGCGCTTGAAGTCCCCGATGACCACGTCTTTAGACAGCCTGTTGACCGCACAGAGGCAAGACGGGTCAAGCTCGCTGCACTCAAACCAGAGAGTTGTTTCCCCACTTACTTCCAAGCCCAAACCTGGACTTCAGCTCCTGTCTGTAGAGGCAGAAGGCGCGTGTCATTCAGGTGCTTCTTCCGAGGAACCAGACACAGGTGTCCCGAAGACAGAAGAACCACGGCAGAGTCTTCCTCGACAGAAAGCACCTTGCCACGATGCATGCTTCTCAGGGTTACCTGCAGTTTCAAAAAGTTGGATGGCTGCCTGCACTGTCCATCTTGGTGCATCCACGTACTCTAGGCCGCCAAACCACAGTGCCAGTGAAAGCCCATACTGCAGACCTAGACATCATAAGTTAAACTTTCGCTCCTGCCAATTTTAATTTAGATGGGCATTGTACCGGTGCAGATTCGTGAAATCAATATACTATGTTATGCATGCTATAGGTCCGAGATTAACGGCTATACTGCACAGGCCTAATTGTGCTCTTACGATGAGACGCAAGTGGTCGTATCTGAATGCAGACCAACTTTCGAATCTAATAAACATACATACAACCAATCTGACTGATTCTGAAATGCAGCCAAACCATGCAATTAAAGAATGCCATGATACATGTGCACGCACACTTTTAGAGCAGTCACTTAAGAAAGATTTCAGGAAGTACATTCATTTGCTCTTTGTTAGTTCTAAACTATCTCAAGGAACAGAGTGCTATGTTGCGTCCAGAGTGTCGAACCGGAACCGAACCAAACCATCCTTTTTACCCAAACCAGAACTGAACCGAACCGAAATCTTCGCCGCCATCTTCGAACGGAATCAGAAAAAAATATAACGGTAACTGGTTCAAAACGATTCACCGTATTATTTTTTCCCCCTTTTTTTTGTTAGTATTACATGACGAATATTCGAGAATAAAAAAATGGCAGCTGTGTTTCTATGCATCGATCGAATCGTCATAAACAAAATTGCAGCGTACGTATAAGAAATTTATGGTTTTCGTGGTGCTTTTGTATTGGCACCATGATTAATCATGTGTGACATGGTCTCGTGTCGTCACGGTGTCAAGGCAAGTAATGTCGCGTCACGTGGCCCCTTGACGTCACGTCCCTACGTCGAGCTGGTTTAAATTGAGAACGTAATTAGATGTATTAGCATTGTTGACACTGTGACGTCACGAGCCCGAGTCAAGTGCTCCGGTTCATGACAATCAGCATCGCCAAACGGGTAATAGCTCTGCTAAATCAAAGATGAGAATAGCCAAAGTCTAACAATGTCTGAAGCTCAGCCCATGCTTTACGATTTGCCAACTCCAGCGCATGATTATGATGAACACTGATGGTATATAATTAGTGTCAGGTCACGTCGCCACTCGCCACTTGTCCTAATTGTGAGTTGAGGAGGGGAAACCCAAGCGGCACAAGAATATTAGGCGAGTATCTACACAATATTGTTGGCAAATACTCAGAATATACAGTTCTTCCCATCCACGCAATGTCTAGACAATATTGTTTCAAAAGCGGGGCAGTACCAGCACAATATCACTGGAGTACCGCCACCGTCAGGCTGAGTACCCACCGGACGCTCAGTATATCTATAGAGTACTAGCAGCGTCGGCTGAGCGCACGCCGGACATTGTGTGTTAATCCAAGGTCAATCGAGTCGTCGAAGTACCCGCCGGATATCGCCCGTATATCCATAGAGTACTTGGAGCGTCGCCTGAGTATCCACCGGGTATCGCGTATGTCAATCGAGCTGGCGTGTCGTCTGAGCACCTGCTGGATATCGCACGTATATCTATAGAGTACTTAGATATCGCACATATATCTACAGAGTACTTGGAGCTTCGGCGCTACAGTCCGTTGCAACTCAAGATGGTAGGGCGGGGGTAAAATGGGTCGGAAAGGAGGAAGCAGACGGAATGCTGGAGAAGAGAGGGGGAAACCTCCTTCTCTCTTGAGCATTCTGTCTGCTTCCTCCTCCCCAGCCCGTCTTGCCCTCGCCCTTCCTTCTCAAGTTGCAATGGACTATAGATATCGCACAATTTATGTGCTACAAAAATATTTTTATTTGCTCACGCCACCATTACGCATCGGGCTTTTTGGCACCTTTATTATCCACACATGTAGATACATTACGCATACCACAAGCATGAGCTGAACAAATACACTCAGCGCATACCCATACACGGCACATACAAACTTCAGCCCAACAGCCCACTAGCCAACACTTCCTAGAAATAAGATCGTAGCGCTCTTCTCGTGACGTCGCAATGGAAGGCCATCGGGGGCGCGCGTCGAAGCAAAGGCAATGCACGTGGATCGACCGCCGTAATGCGCTTTCAGTCACATATGCGTCTCTTATTAGCTAAAATGAATGCTGCACATGACAATGGGTCGAGAAACCATTTTATTACACAGGCAAAGTATTGCACCGCTAAATAATCGGTACGAAATGGCACGAGGTATGCGTATAAGACGTCTATAGAAAAATGTGATTGTTTTAAGTCGAAAACATTAAGTCGCAATTATTGTTGTAGGAATGCATCTTTTATACAGAAATACTTTGGCAAAATGGCGAGACACGCAGTGATTGGACCCAGCAAAACAGATAACAGTTAAAATCAGGTAGACATACTCAACGCGGACACCACTAGACAAGTGTCACTTACGATCATGTAAGCGACTGTTGTTGCGTGCAGTCACTGAATTCTTGCATTATACCCCAGCCACATGGGAAAATTAATGTAATTTCGATCAAATGACATTATGGGGTCGACCAAATCAGCTTGCGACACTCGTATAATCACTCAAGACCGCAAACTGATTAAATCCCAAATCATTTAATGAAAATATACAAACTTTTTCGTGGCAGGGGTACTGAACTTACTATTTAGTCAACTAATTTACTTCTCCCTATTGGCTTGAGCTACCTTAGAACAAAATATAACTTATTTTGTATACAATATTACTGTAACCTTAATACAGTTAAGATTCTAGTATAAACACGGTAACATTAGTATAAATATACACATAGGCACCAACAACGCACTTTCAATAATCACAAACTTGTTATTCACCTTCCCATAAAAACTAGAATATTACCACGCATATTTACAAATGTCGACGCAACAGCACGCGGATAACAACGAAGGACAAGATCCCATTCTATCACGAGATTTAAAAAAAAATAAATTGACTGCAGCACTTTGCTCGCGTCCTACATGACCAAGGAAACCCGTAAAGAAGTTGTTTCTCACCTGTCTATCGTATCCATACGTCCCGCTTTATCCGCCACGAAAACATTTGAACACAAACTCCAAGAAGTCTCTTTGTTGAGAGAGGGTCTGTCGATAATGACCAGTGTCATCGTTGACTAGTTGCCAAATTGCCACACATGTCATTCAAATCGTAGCAGGACTTGTTCCGCGAATCCACGTAAATAAAGTAGTATCAAGCAAAAAAAAAAAAAAAATTACCCGGCAAGCACTTGCAGATCTGGTCGTCTCGGAGAAGCCGTGTCGAGTTCCCACGGTGTTGGAAATCCTTTCCTCACTATCCCCTCTGTCCGTCAATGTCTCACTGCCTCCAAGGAAAAATCTGCGTCCTGGTCTCCACACCGTCTTGTAGTCCCAGCCCCTGGCCCCATTCTTCCTTCCTGTTTGTTCCCCTCCAGGGTCGTCCATTTCCCTCGCCTGAGATCTTTCTTGAGATCTTTCCAGTCGGAGGCTCTGCTGGAATGTCCCTCGCCCGTTTCTGTTTCCATGTGCTTGGGTAACGTGGTCCTCCTCTTGCTTGTGGTGATGGGGAGGAGGCCAGCAGATTGTCACGTCCAAAATGGGTGGGGGGGGGGGGGGGGGCGCCTTCTCCGAAGCGTGTCGCGGCCACCATGAGTCACTGCCCGTTGCCTCTCGCTTTTTGAAACACGCATACAGACCCACACCCGCAAGCGCGCACCTAGCCGGATCTTGCGTTGGGCCCGAGCGCCCTACTTCGAAGGATTAACCAAAGACCGGGTACGTCACAACTGTCTCTCTCCCTCTCCCTTTCCAAGTAGGCTTTCCAAGGCGCCAGCGAGTCTGGTCACGTGCGGTTGAACTAAAAAAGTTGGGTTCACTCTCTTTCTTATTATTCCTCCTCTCTCATTCATGTCGTCCTGTCTCTTTCCTCTTCCCTTTTAAGTTATCTTTTTGGGAGGAAAAAAAAAACAATATTCATGCAATCGTGGTTACCCGGTTTGCGTAAACTATATATCAGGATTGCGTCGGTGCAATATAGCAGATATTCTATGGACATCGACCAGGTGAAAATTGTACCGGCTTTGTTTCAATATCATTTTCGAATCAACCGAAAATGCCTAATACTGCACAGTTATTGTCGATTCAGAAACGATATTCAGAGAAAAACACGGTTCGTGTACCATATATATCATGGTTGCGTCGCCGCAATATAACAGATATTCTGACGATATCAGCAGAATCAAAATGGTACCAGCACAATTTTCCCGATACAACCGAAAAATCGGCAATACTCGCACGACTTTCCCGACCCGAGGCGAATATCGCCCCAATATTGTGTGCTGCCTGGGAAGCTGTTTCTTTCCTTTATGTTTCATACGTCTGCCATTGCGCGAAGAGAAAAACTAATTGGTCTTTTTGCAAGTTACAAACATCAGGGATTAGTTCTTAGTGGTATTTAGTAAAAGTACAAAATGTTTTGACCCATTTTACATGTACACATCACTGAGATACCCAAACATGTTTTCGTTGTTGCTGAACTGCCTCAGATACTTGTCCCCTATATTGAAATAACTAAATGTGACTTATCAATTGGATGTTACAAAGAACTACAAGTGTGTACAGGAGGGACACCTGAAAAGAAAGATCATAGTGGCCTCAGAGGGAGAGCCGAACGTTGACAGCCGCTTTAAGTCTCACAGGACTATCATTATCAAGTTCTTTCCCAAGCTTTGTTTTAACTATACAATTTTTGGGGGTAGAATAAAAGCAATGGAGCATTACTGTTAACAAGTGACACAAATATAACTGTCTAATTAACACTCCCAAAGGGAGGAGGGAGTCCCTCGGGAATAAAAAGTATTATCTGGAGGAGCAACGAAAAAAGAAAACGGGGCGGGGAGAACTACTTTGTTTGCAAGAACACTCTTGTCAGAAAGCGTGTTTTCGTGGATTTAGACACTGGATTTGATTTTCTCAGCAAGAACAAATCACAATGAC